TCAGGCACTTTTGGCAGATACCTATTCCCTACGCGAAACTAAAGTACAAGAAAATGGAAAAGTGAGTAAAATTCTTGAGAAAGTTTATTATACAATTTTTATATTAAAAGATACAAAGTGAAATTAAAAGTGTCTCAAAAATAAACACAAACTTCTATCTTTTCAATTTTATATAAAAGTCATCACATTTTATTTGTTAATTTCACATTATTTCTTATTGTACAAAAAACACATAAGTATTTTGTTTTCTACAAAATAAAATTTTATTTGGCACTAAATTCACAGTAATTCGGTTACTTTTAATTAAAAATGGGTTTTAGAATTTTTTTTACAATTTTTTTTATATAAACAACTAATAAACCACAACACATACTCAAAAAGAAATGTTCGTTTTTATTTAAAAACAATTTACACAAATAAAAACATTTATACTAAATTATTGCTAATTGCTTCCGATTTACCTTTTTTTACTACTTAAAATAGTTAATAACGTAGCATCTTAGATGAGCAGTAAATATCTAAAAAAATTAATTGAATTTACAGGTTGATCTCACTGCTGGAGCGGAAGAACCCCCCTCCAAAGTTAGTTAATTGACATAAAGCAATTTCCGCAGTTTTATTTTAATTTTCAAATCACAATTTTTTATTTTTTTTATATTAGATAAAATAAATATAAGTTTAAAATTAAGCAAATAATATTTTTATTTTTTGTAAAAAATAAAATTTTTATTTTTATTATTTGCCACAATTTTAGAATTTTGTTTTGTACTGTACTGTTTGCAAGGCTTAGTAACCCACACAAAACTTAGAGTCAAAAACCTATATACTCATTAAATTAGATTGGAAGTATGGGCTGACCTATTTTCTCATATAAATACATTTGCGTCTTTATTCTTATAGTTTTTTATAGTAAATTGGTTTTGGTTTTAAACATTTTTTTATTATTGTTTATTTTGGATTATGGTATTTTAATTACAAAACTTAAATTCACTAAATAATTTTATAATAATATATAAAATAATTCTAAAATAAAATATTTTTTATTCATATTAAATTCAATACGTATTTAAATTCATTTAGTTTTAAGTGATTTAATTTAAATTAATGAAGTTTTGTTGTAGATATATATTTAATATATTTTATTATTTATATTAACTTTAACACGTATATAATTAATTTAATTTAATGAAGTTCTGTTGTAGATAAATTTAATATATCTTCCTTTCTATATTATTATTAAAAAAACAATTTGTCTATGCTATAACGATGTTCACACTGTGTGATTAAAAACTAGTCTTTATAAATCAATTGTGTATCCTTTATCTATACGTTTTAGACAACAGATTAGAAATTATTATTAACCATACTTAAGGAAATATTGTAAGCTTTTGTTGTAGTTATGTGCTCTTGTACAAAATTGATACTGCATACAAACTTATTTATTTCATACACAAACCAATTTATTCTGTATGTAAACCAATGAAGCAGTTTTAATTATATTAGCCGTAATTTTTTTTTGCAGGGTAGCAAAAAAATACTCGCAACTTACGAAAGAAAACATATGAAGCAATAACAATGCTCTTAAAGTCTTCAGAGTTGGGCTTTACTAGCATAATATTTTGCGTTTTAAGATTCAGTGCAACCAAATTAAAAAATTAAAATTAAATTCAAATTAAAAAATTGTAAATGTTGACTGGAAACTTAGTACAAAATTGTAGTCATCCGTTAAAATTATATGAGCATTTTATTTACCAATACATTCAAATACATGATAAATAAATTAATTTAAATATATAATTTAAAAATGCTTACCATTACCCTTCTAATATTCATTTTGTTTTCTTTTATATAAATGAATAAATTTTTAGTGTTTACAATTTTTATATTTCATATTATACACAACATAACAAAAATCATATAACAAAAATAAGCATTTAACATATCGTAAAAGTGATGCCAATTTGTTTCAATCAGACTGTTTTTTTTACAACTCTTAAAGAAAAATTACGGCTATTAATACATAGTTTTTAGATTGCCTTAGAGTATAATAATCATTTGTACTAAATTTTACATTAATCCTAACCAAATAAAGATTTTATTTTTGTTTGGTTAATATACATTTTAAGCAATAGATTGAAGCTTTAATCGTAATGATCGCTTTAATCCCAGTATCGCTTTAATTTATTGTTAATCTCACAGTAATAACGTAGCATATCTGATTTAGGAAATCACTAATAAGAAAATATTACTATTTGAACAACATTTTCTATTAAAATAAACCTGGAAGCACTTAAAATTAATATAGGATAAAATTAAATATGAAAATATATACATATGTGAGTTAGTTTTTTTAAAAAAAAATGCTAATACTAAAATTCTTTAAAATTCTAACACAATCTTAAGTATATTCATGTATAGAAAGCTTATTAACACAAACCTTAGTCACTTTTCACACTATAGGATATATGTATATACAATTTTTAGCACGAATGATTAATCCACTTTAACTTAATCTTTCGGAGCAACGCAATATTTACGCTGTATTAGCTGCTTTGGTCGAGCTGTAGTCGTGTGTAATTTTAGCCTTGTAGTTAAAGGTTGAAATTTAAAGATAGATGAATCCATTTAATTAATGTTTGAAAAAAATTCACATTTTCAGTTCATAAGTTAAGATTGTATTTCAGTTGAAAGATTAATCAAAATCATTTTTTCACTGATTTCATAAATAGATATTTATAATTAATTTTTTAATATTCAATGGATTGAAAAATGATGAATAAGAAATCGTATCTAAGTACTTTTAATGTAAGAAATTTTGCTTTTTAATATTAATTGTAAAAATATTTACAATTAATTTATCTGATGGTTATTGTCAGAAGTATTTATCAGAGGTATTTAGAACTTAAACGGCGATATATCTCAATTAACATGAAACATGAATATTTTTATCTATCACATTTTAATGTCACTTTATATACATCAAAGAGTAATCTTTGATATATGTTAGTTTCAACAAGAAAATAGCAATTTATCAGGTACATTAGAATTTTTTTCAAATTTTTATTGAAAATATTATATGCTAGTACACTTTAGCAAAACAGGCACGTGCTTTAGTTGAAATTCAAGAGTACCATGATGCGGTTTTCTTTGTATATCCAAGATAATTGCTTAAAATTCACGATATATAAACATGGCATTTAAATTCAGTTTATCAGCAATCATACCCTAAGACAATTTAGGACTGAACCAAATCGAAACTTACATCATCAGTCGAAGATTTTAGAGAGAACTGGCTTTCACAAAACATCAAGTTTAAAATTATTAAAACCACTTTCAAAACGGTGATATTTAGTATTCATTAAGTATATGCACAGACTCAAGCTTAATCCTAAATCCGTAAAGAATGGCAAATGGAAACTGTTGCTGCAATGACGGCGGAATTTGTATCTAATCTTTTTCATTAAATTTACATTTTCTTGCTTCCATTTTAAAAAGTTACTCTTAAACTTTAATTTAGTTGGCAATTTTGTGAATTGTCAAAAATTTATTTGGTTTTGCCAGCTATATTGACTTTAGTTAGTCTGTTCGTAAGTCTTCTATTTCACAACTATTTCAATTAGAATTAAATTAAAGTTCTTATAAAGTTCTTATGTATATATCATATGTAACTATTCTATAAATAAAATTGTGAAAACTATATATATATATATACGTTCTTTATTAAAAACTTCTTTATGATAGCCTATATGAAAAAAAAATATTTATATACGTAACTAATATATTAATAAAATATGATGAAAAAAGGAAGTCATAGGAGTCTATATAGTATGTAATCTCATATTAAAATTTCGCATTATTAACGTTTATTTTTCCTTTTATAGTAGTCAGCAATGTTCATTACCATATATTCTTAAAAAACACTTTAATGCTGTATTCTAGCACTTATAATATTACTGTATTTTTATTATTTTCTAGTTTTTATTTCATGATTATGCGGATAACATAAATTCATTAAAAATGAATAATTAAAATAGTTCTAATATAATTTCACAGGTTTTTTTGTATTGAAACACGCTTTTGCAGTAATGAAACTTTTTTGCTTTTACAAATTGCATTAAGTAACACACATCTATCTGTACATCTGTACATAAAAAAACTAAAAAAATTTATAATAAAGTTCTATGCTGAATGATGCACTTTAGCTTGAAGCATTTAATATTTTCAATCTCAGGAATTCAGTTATCCTTCTATATTTTTACATATTTATTATATATATATTTTTTTTAATTGCTAATATGCATGTTGTAATCATGCATTTTGCTGAATTAAATTGTAGTTAATTTTTTCTATAACATTTTAAAAATTAATTGCAAATATTTAATTTAATATCATTTGAGTTTATATTTTTATACTTAAAAAAAAATTATCAACAGGTTTCACTTACCGACTCTGATCCTTCGCAATTCCGTGAGTTTTTCAACATTGCGGAGTATGAAATAAAACAGCAGCAACCACTGCGTCTAAAAAAGAAATTCTATGAATTTTATACAGCACCCATCACAAAGTTTTGGGCTGATTCGGTAAGTCAAATAGTTTTTATACAAGTATATTTTCAGCTAAGTAAACTCATGCTCCTTCAGAGCAAAGTGGCTGTTAAATAAACGAACTAAAAGTGCTTTTTTAATTTCCGTTCCTTGTAGAAGCGATTTTCAAAATTAATAGATTTTTTGTTTTTTATTTTTCTTTTATTTTATCTCAAATTAACACCCACTGTGTGTGTGCTTGTGGCTCATTTTAGATTGCTTATATGTTTTTTCTGATAATGTTTACATTTACCGTCCTGGTTAAAATGGGTCCATTCCCACGCTGGCAGGAATTTTATTCGATTGCTTATATCACAGCGTTGGGATTTGAGAAAATTAGGGAAATCATTTCATCAGAACCTGTCGCAATTACGTAAGTAACAGAAAATTTATCTATTTAAGGCATTTTCCAATTTAATTTCTGTGTGCAAACGTTGATTTTTTTTTTAATTCGAAACTTAATTTATTTGGTTTAATATATTTCAAGAATACTTAAAAAAGTTATGGTTTAAATTAAAGTGCATGTGTATAAAAAACAATTTTAAAAAATTGAATCTAAATCGAAATACCTTTGATAGAGTATGGCCCTATGGTTAAATATGTAATAGCCGTAGTTTTTTCTTACAGAGTAGCAAAAAAATACTCACAAGTTACGAAAGAAAACATGTGAAGCAACAACAATGCTCTTAAAATGTTCAGAGTAAGGCTTTACATTAAATTAAAATTACATTAAATTAAAATTAAAAAATTGTGAATGCTCACTGGAAATATGTTGCAAAATTCCAGTCATCCGTTAAAATCATAAAAGCATTTCATTTACTAATAAACTCAAATACACAAATAAATTAATTTCAATACATAAAATATTAGTTTTTTCTTTTATTTAAATTAATTAATTTTTATTGTTTACAATTTTTATATTGTATATAAAACTACAAAACAAAAAACATATGTCAAAAATAAGCATTTAACATATTTTAAAAGTGAAGCCAATTTGTTTCAACCAGACTTAATGCTGTTTTTTTACAACTCTGAAAGAAAAAAATACGGGTAATATCACAACAATCATACCATCAAACACACATCAGTTTAAATTGTAGTGTATGTATAACAAAAAAATATTTAAAAATATGACTTAAGTTCTAATAATATACCATTACATTAAATGATATAGCACAGACCTTTGATGACCGGATGGTTAAATAGATGATAAAACAACTGCCATGCTATCAAATACTGGTTTTAGTTTGATAATTTGTTTGATGATAAGGAATTCTAATAGATCCACTATTATATCTACGATATACAAATAATTGGCTAAAGTCAGAGTACAGCATTTGCTGACAATACTATGCACATCACGAGCTTCCTGTAGAATCTTAACGGTTATTGTGAATTCTAATATTGTACACTTTTCAATATCTTAAATAAATTTCTCAAAAACAAAATTTGAAGTAAAAAATATTTTGCACTATTGGTGATCGGTTCATCAGCTATCAGGTCACCAGAAACCTCAGAACTTTATGCTACTAACAATTCACACTTTTGAAACCTTAAAACTTAATCACTTTGAATAATATAATTTAGTGTACGAAGTATTTGTAATGTTGGTCATGGACTATTATTGACCACTTTTTAATTTTTTAAAATATCGTATATATAATATATATATTTGATCAATATTACTGGTTTACTGGTTTCATTTTGAATTTCTAATTAATTAATCTTAAATTTATAAAGTGGAACTCACATTGTTATAATTTCTGAATTAAGAAATTTCTATTAAACCATATCATATACAATTCTCCAGATTATTATTAGAATTCGAACACAATCATGAGTTGTTAACGAAACTATATTTTCCATCTTGTCAAAGGCATTATCCTTTGGTTCAGTAACTTTTACGCATAAATGGAACTGCAGTATTTATTATAAATTCTGCACTGTCGGATTAAAATGAATAAACGAAGTACATATTTCATTAAATTTGCAAAACTAAAATAAAATTTTACCGGATTTATTTTTGTATCCCATTTTTCGATTTTACATACAATACATATATATACATACATACGTTAAAATATACTATTATATGTTTTTCGCTGCAGGCATAAATTTTCCGTGTGGGCTTGGAATATGTGGAATCCGTGTGATGGTGCAGCAATTATATTATTTCTGATTGGACTTTCATTTCGTTTCCGTCCCAATACGATGGATGTCGGACGTGTTATTTACTGTGTCGACAGTATTTATTGGTACCTGCGGTTGTTAAATATATTGGGTGTAAATAAATATTTGGGTATGTTATTAACACTTTCACACTATTCTCACAATTTTCATCCATTAAGAAATTCATACTTTTAAATATTTAAAAAAAAAATATATACATATATAAAAAATATACATATTATGTTTTAATTTTGCAATAACTATGCACATATGCTAATCCTGGGTCATAAATAATTTTATTAAAATATTGTTCACTTTTGATGTGTGTTGATAAAAAATATTTTTACAAAATTTAATTTTTTTTAATTTTTATTTTAGTATTTTAAAGATTAAAGTTCACAATTAAATTATGCATTTCATCAAAAATTATTTTTATTATTTTTTTCAACTCATTTACTCATTTTTAGTTTAAGTTATCTATATTATATTCTGTTTTTTTTTATTTTTTGTTTTGGTATTTTAAATCAATTATACTGTTAATTTCAATTTAGTTTAAATTTAAAAAACGTTTTTATCTAACATTTTATTTATTTTTTTTTGCAATTCATCTATCACACATCTATTTATTACTAATTTTAAAATTTTACCTTTATTTATAATTTATTTGTTTATTATATTATTTTATATTAAAATGCATTTTAATATCAGTTATGATAGTATTATTATTATTTTAATTACTATAAACTATTGTATTTAAAAGTGAGGTTTTCAAGAGTAGTGAACTACAACAACAAATTTTTTTTTAATACTTAAACTAATTGAATTTTGCTCTTACCGTACAGCTGTTTCGAGTATTGCCAACAACACATCTACAGCGGTCTTAAAGTTACTTCTTATATTTAATTATTCACAAAATTATTTATGCATAAATAAATATAAGAAATAGTTCCAAGACTACTGATGGGTTAAATTATTTTATTCATACTTAAATATTAGAAATAATTCCAAGACCACCGATGTTGGATATTAGGGAATACTCAAAACATCTGTATTTAATTAAAAAACAGTCAGGAATTCAATCAATTAAAATATTAAAAATTTTTTGTTGTTATAGTTTTCTACTGTTCGAAACCTCTTTATTATGTTATATTTAAATCAATTATTTAAATTTAAAAATTCAAAAATCAAAAATTTTTGTTGAAGTTCACTACTGTGCGAAACCTGACTATTATTTCATATTTAAATCAATAAGTCTGTTTATTTAAATATAAATTAAATATAATAAATTTTTTTTATTGATAATTATTTTTTTTTTCCTTTAAAGTATTCTCTATTTATTTTTATTCTTAATTTTAAGTTCTTGCCTTTAATTTTAATTGATTGCTTTTATAGACAAAGCTATTAATCTGTTTTATATGATACAATTTAGATATAATCATATAATTTTAATTTTATAATTTATCAAAAACAATTTTTTTTGATTTCTTTATTTTTAATTTTTGTTTTTACTTGTGTATTATTTATTTTAATATTTTAAAACAAATATGGGTGTTATTTAAATATTTTTTAGATATCATAAATTTTTTAAAATTATGTTTTATTTGAAGTATTAATTTATAAATATATTTAAATTTAAGTTTTTGTGTATATATATTATTTTTTGTTAATTTTCAAATTGTCAAAATATAATTGAAATTTAAATAATTTTTTTATTGAAAATATTTTTATAATTTTATTTATTTTATTTTATTTTATTTAAAATTTTTAGCATTAATTTTTATTATTTACTTTAATTTTTTATTTTATATTGTGTATTTAATTATAATTTATTAATATAATTTTTATTAACAAAGTTTTTATATACTCTAGTATATTTTATTAATATTATATATATTTTATTAACTCTATATATACAGTGTTTACTCGAAAACATTAACTAATTTTTATTTTTGTTTAAGAATATTATTCATGTTTTGAAGTAATAAATAAGTAATTGTTCATGCAATGTTCACTTTTGCGAGAGAGCACTGTTTATTATAATATAATACTAAATTTTATTCTATTTCATCACAATTTCGAGTTTTTTATAAAAATTTTATTTATATTTTTGGTTTTTGCTAGTTTCTTATATTGCCAGTCTCATCAATCTCGTGCCAGAGTTTGCGCTGGCATTTTCAATAAAGTTGTAATTAATTTTCACCTGTTCAATGCCGTCGATGACAGCGGAAATTGTTAGCTAAATTGTGCTATTTTCTCCTTTTATCCTCCCAAATTTTTGCTTTACCAATTTAAGTTGATTTAACGGCTTATACTAATTCCCCCATTTTTTGTTGCTGTTTTGCAGGTCCATTGGTTACCATGATGGGAAAGATGGTTAAGAACATGATTTATTTTGTGGTACTTTTGGCTGTGGTGCTAATGAGCTTTGGTGTTAGTCGGCAGGCCATTTTGAATCCGAACAACGAACCAACATGGCGATTGATTAAGGATGTAAGTAACGATTTATTTTTCGCACACCATATTTTATTATTTTATTCTTCTACATTTTTTTTTTTCGTTTTAATGTTTCACTTTTTTTTCTTTTTATCGTTGTATTTTTTTGTGTGGTCTTGTCTGTTGCTAAAAACTTTCACAATTTTGCAATCACTTTCTTTTCTTTCCTTTGAAGTGTGTGTGACGTGAACAGTGTGCATTTCAATATGTGTTTATATAAAAAAATATTTAAATTTTTTAAAAAAATAATATTTTAAAATTTTAAACCCTAAAGGATTATACATAAATATTAAGAAGACTTAAAATTTTAAGAAGTTTTTAATGTCTTATTGTTTTTTTGTTTTAAATTAATTTTAGCTTTTGCAACCTTTCACGTTGTGGTTTACAGTAAAGATTTTTTCAAACTTCTTTGTTAACCAATTTTTATAAAAAAAAAACTAAATTCTGTTTATAAATTAAAGTGTAAAGAAAACATTTATATACCACTATTTTGTATAAGAAGGTTTTTTTGATTTTAAATGTTAAAGTATTGTAAATTATTCAAAAACAAATTTTGTTAGTAGTTTTATAATTTTTTTTTTGTTTGTAAAAACCAGAAAAATATATCTTTAATCTTCACTGTTAACTAAAGATTTTCATAAGAAGACTTAAAATTTTTTCTTACTTATCATGTAAAAGTCTCTAATATCTTTTAAATGACTTATAAGCCGAAAAAGAAGGTTTGATATAAATAAAAATTACACTTAACTTTTTAAGCTACTTTTAATCCTCTTATTATACCGATTGAAATATTTTTCTTCTATCACTTTATGGCTTAAAACAAAAGATTAAAAACAAACTTTACCACCTCTTAATAATATACTAAGCAGTGTATAAAATATTTTGCGTTAATAACTACATAACAAATTGGGTCAGCGTTTATTATCCATAAGTTTAAAACGATATAGGATCCCAAAAGTAATTTCTTATATTCAAATACTGGCTGTATTTTTTTTTTCTTTTTTTGTTTAACTTCTTACCACTTCTTCGACTTAAATCATTATATATTTTTTTGTAGAATTTCTGTTATATTTAAAAAAATGCACACAAATATGTATCATAGTTTTCTCTAGAGATAACTTATCTCTAGCAATAGAGTTTTGTAGAAATCAATACTATTTGTTATACTGTGTGATTAAAATTTATCCATTTGTCTTCTTTTTTGATTATATAAAAGTTTTGAGCTGATTCGAATCTGCTGAGCTCAATATTATAACCTGTTTTTCGGGAAGACTTTTGAGTCTCTGTCATTGACGGTTTAAAAGTCAAAAACATAGATTTTAAAATTTTACCACCTGAATTAAAAATAATATAAATAATATTTTTATCTTAAGCAGTTTTCTATTCGCTTCCTAAGATGAATATTCTTTCTCGACGTGCTTTTTTTTTAAATCAACGTACTGACAGTAATGAACGAGAATTTTCTTTATATCCTTTATATCTTAGCAATTGATATCTTGTAATGTATATGCGTTAGTTATATTGGCAATGCATACAATTAATATAATAATAAGTGGTTCTATATTTAAATGCGCAGTGTATATAAAAATACACTAATTGTTTCCAAGCGCATTGCATTGTTTACAAACAAATGCATAATTCCACACAAGGAATTTGACACCACACATATCGGCGGCACTTTGCCTTCGAGTTATCAAAATGAGAAATTTGAATTAACTTCATTTTTTAAAGTTTAACACATTATTGCTAAAGATCCAAAAACTTATGAGAAATATGGGTTTCAGATTTGATCTTAGCAGCCTCAAATTATGCTAACAACATTTGAAAATTAAAAAAAGGGATTTAATATCACACAGTGTAATCTGATAAAACAGTGTAGGAACTATGCAATAGATGTTAATACTGTCAAAGCGAGGTCTTAAATTTCCGCCCTGGTCATGAAAGACCTCTGTCACGTTTAAGCATAATACTTTCTCTATTGATGTGTTTAGACCTCATTTTTTATAATTTCTTTTTTCCACTGTTTTAATTGATCACAGGTAACATTCGAATCCATCGTTTGACTAGATGATGATAATTAAAAACGTATAATGATATACTCCAAACACAGAAAGTTGCAATCTAAACTACTTTCGTTGCCATGATTTAATAAAAAAAAAGAAATTAACGACAAACGTGACATCACAAATGACCCTTCAATTGTTAAAATGTAGCCATCATGTGATCGCTTTAGATAGTGAAAAAAATCCTTTTGGAAATACCATATAAGTAAAGTACTTAAAATTAACATGCAGTCTTGACTAGAACTTGTATAAGAAGCATTTCTTGTAATCTTGTTATTACTTTATAATTTTGTTACTTTCTATTAAACTTGTAAGTAACTTTAAAACAGAAGATTTTTATTTTAACTTTTTATCCGCATTAAAAAGTAATTGAGTCGTTAATTGAGATTTTCGACAACTTGCATTCGGTGCATTTTAAATATGGCAGCATATAACAGAATCACTGATGACTTAATCTGTTTTTATTCAATCGTGATTCATTATCATATTTAATCCGTTTTTCTGATTTAAATTTTTTCGTTTTTATAGCGATTTTAAATTTTTTTGTATGCACATCGAATTTTTTTTTGATAACCAACTTTATTCAATAAAAATAGTACTATAATATAGTATAGATGGCAATCTTCATTACTTTAACGATATCAAGACTACACCCATAAGTTAGGTTAGGGGATACACTTAGGCCGCTTAGTCCATTGTGCTACCATATTATTAAAAACCCAAAGGTTAAAACCCTCTAGTACAAAGCTTATGATGCTATTCATACTCAAAAAAGAAAGCCCCTAAAGTGTTAATGTGGTGCCGTGCATGTACCTGACAAAAGCAAAGCAGGTGGGAGGCACTCACCACAAATGCGGCAGATATGATTGAAAGGAAGATTTAGTCTCCTAGCATGGTTACAAACATATTTATTGAATATCCTAAAATGATGTTCACAATTTTAAAAGTGTGAAGCATTTATGACGTCAAAAATTTTAGAAAGAAAATAAGATTAAAAGAATCGAAAAAATTAAATTGGCGTAGAGAAAAGTATTTTTTTGTCATAATAATGTTGACAGTCAACGAATCGTTAAATGTAGTGTGTAAATTTCATAGAGTTATACTTTAAAATGCTTCCTCATTCACTTCTGTATTAGCCAGATTTTTCAACTCATGGCCACCAGTTCGCCAGTTTTATTATTATAATTTATAAACTTCTATAAGAAATACCTTCTGCTCAAAAAGAACCCGGATTTTGTAAATAAAACACACAAATTTAAATTTTAATCCAAATTTATTTTAACTCTTTCATAATATGCTTCTTCTGAAGCGATACACATATGCCAACGCTTAACCCAATCTTTCATACACTTTTCGTAGGCCCGTGCAGGTATGACTTTTGGTTCCTTCGGCGAAATCACTTTTACCGATTCAATCGACTCAAAACGTTTACCACGAAGGGGCAATTTGAGTTTTGGGAACAGGAAAAAGTCGCATGGATCCAGATCTGGCGAATATGGTGCCTGAGCGATGACAGTGGTGCCGTGTTTGTTCTCATATTAACAGCTGCTCTAAACAAACTAATTGACAGATGGCGCTCAAATTTGTATCATATGTCAAGAAAGGGTGTACTAACATAAAAAAAAAAAATTTCCGAAAAAATTCTTCATAAGTAAGATAATCCATTTTAAAAGTATAAAGAAACAGAATTCAGTTCTGAAAACCTTGTTGTTAAACTATTGTATGATGAGTATATTTTTCATGATTTAATTACAATTTTGATACAGACACAATGTATACGCTGAGTATTTAGTATACTGAGTATTTAGTTGAAATTCAGATAAACCATTTTTAATTAAATTTGATATTATTATTTCCCAAAACGGACTGTATTCTGTAAACTTCGTAAAAAGAGAGTATATCCAATCACAAATATATACAGGATTTTTATTTTAATAATCAAATACAATATTTTTTCCAATTTTTTAACAAAATATGTTAAATTTTGTTTTATCTAAACATACATAAAATAAAAAATGTTTTACAGGTATATTTGCATTTTTTTTATATATCTTGTAGGAACAGCAATGTTATTTGCTTTGGTATTAATGCTGGCTTTAAAATAATATAATTTCATATTTCCATTTCAAATTTTTCATAACTTTAAAATCTCTGGTTTACGTACTATTTTACGACTGTGCAAATTAAATGTAAAAAAAAATTGTTACATTTTTCTTATTGAGATATTTTATGATATTTATAATAAAGCCAACCTATGCACTCGTTTGTTGACTATAATATTTTATACAATTTTTATCATATGTAGTTTGTAGTATATAACCGTAATGTGCACATTTTTTTTATTACTGAATTTATAATATTTTTTAGATTATCACATACTTGGTACTGACTCACACACCCACCACCAATTTTATAGTTTTGTTGAAATAGGCAATGAAATAGTATATGAAATGTGTTACCTATTAGTTTACATACTTATAGATTTTATGATATAAAAATTATAAAAAAAACTTAACAAATTTATATATAACTAAAAATGTCAGCTAATATTTAAATTTTCGTAAAATGTTAGTTTCGAAATGTGAAATTGGTGCAGTCAAAAAAATAAATAAATAAATAAATGAAGAAAAGATGGTTATATACAAAAAGAATAAAAGCTCTGGTTTTAAAATTCACGCGCATGCAAGACAAACAGAAATCTGGTCATCATATCTTTAATCGACATTACGCACTACCCAATTTTGTGCATGCAACAAACCTCTATATTGTCAGAAGTAGCATCGTTATTGTTGCAAATTCGTGTTATTTTTTGCACATAATTTTTGCATTTACATTTGTACTTGATTTCATGCTGTATTCTGCCACTCCACACAGCTAGTCTTCAATTCAATTTAAATGTATAAATATACATTATGTTGTATACAAAATTTAATG